GTGCCGGGCTGGGACGGATCTGACCGGGGACCGTTACCAGGTTTGCTGCGATTCAGGACCGCCCTGGTTTAACGGTGGTGTGACAAGCTGGGCGGGTGGTGACCGCCACTCAGCCCTGGTGCGGGCGCGATGGCTGTCCGACGGCACGCGTGTGGTGAGCTGGGCGCTGGCCGCCCTCGGAGGGGGGGAGGATATAAGCCCGACCTGGGGATATCATGCGAGGGGTGTGAGCCTCGTCAAAGAAGTACCATCTTGTGTACTCAACGGGTCACACGCACATCTCCATGACATGTCACCGGCTGGGTTATCCGCACGCCTCACGCTCCTCAGCCGTCTAGCGAGAGTCGAGGTGGGGCCTTCGGAGCGCAGCCTCCTCGCCTAACGTCGGTCTCCCGACAGCCGAGCCAGCCGACGGCCGCGGCGGTGGACAGCAGCTTCTTCAGCTCCGTCCAGAGCCGCTCGCACAGCACGGATGTCAAGGGAGTCAGCCGGACGGACGGGCTGAAGGAGGCCGCCCCTGACGGGTGAGTGCCGGCCGCTCGCCGCCCCCGGTCAGTCCGGGCACCAGCGGCAGGCTCAGAATAGGCGTCACGGAGGGACTCGCCCCGTGTTTCTCCGTCTTGGGGGATGCCTGTGAGTAGCGCGGCCCGGAGGTGAGCAGGGTTACGCTCGCAGCTGCCTCGGGTATTGCGGAGCAGAAGCACAAGCAGTGAAGCGCCCACATTCAGGTCTCTTCCTGCCAGCTGTGCCGTTCCCGTCAACGTGACTAGGGCGAGCGTGACATTCGTACTGCTTGCTCGGAGTCCTGATTTGGCCCTGCTTGCCGTTGGCATGGCGTGCCGTTAAGGGAAGACGTGCTGCCACTGGTCTAGGCGCGTCTGACGTTCCTGTGTTGGTTTCAGCGATGATTCGGTGTCCGAGATCAGCGTTGCCAGCAAACCTTGGCGGGTCAAGGGCGGTAAGCGGCCGAAGAAGGGCAAGCTGCGGCGCGTGTACCACCACCTAGACGACGTATGACGAACTGAAGCTTTCCATTTTGTACGCGCGGCGCTGCGAGCGCCGAGTTGCCGGTGCTGTGCTGGCCGGCAGCAGGCGACCGCGGCCGTCCGCTCTGCGGAATTCTGCGCCGAGAGTCCGTCCGTGGTCGGTCTGCGGCGGCACGATGTCTGGTGGCCCCGCTGCGCCCTGGGCAGTGTGGCGAGGTCAAAAGGATGACCTCTGATGTGGGACCGCGTGGACCGGTAGACCGTGATGAGCATCCACCGCACCGCGCCTCCCAGACGTCAGTAACGCACGTGAAGCATCTGTTTTGTTGGATGATGTATAAATATATCTATGACAGATCCTGATGTACTGTTTCCTCTCTGGGCGTGTGTTCCGTCGGTCGCGCCGGAGCCCAATGTCTCGGGTCGCTATCCCCGCCCATTGGACCATTGGACGCGTCTCCATCGCAGACGCGGGGCGCTGCGATGGAGACGCGTTGGGCTTGTACGCGTACGCTGCGGTTGGGCTTGTTCGGAAGCGCAGTTAGCGTGCTTCTCTCACTGTTCAAAGTATGACGATGGATTCTCCAATAGTTGTGTTAAATAGGTTGAAACAGAAATAGTCTTGTTCAGAGGACAGCGTAGCCACGCGAGGCGTGACAGACGCGCTGACGGAAAGTTGGCAAAAACGGCAGCATTTCGTTTGTTCTGCCGGCCCGATGGTGGCTGCGCTCCCGCACGGCCTTGTTCTGGGCACTCCATGCTACATAGCAGATTCAGTATAGAAGCTCTGCGAGAGGCCGATTCTGGTCGGGACGGTCAGATGCCAGCTGACTTCACTGGCCGCGGCTGGCACCGACGACGGAACAATGGGGAACGGCAGCAATCGGATCTGGACAAGGATTGAGCGCGAGATGATCATTTTCGTCTCAATGATCGTGACGTTATGTGTATCGTTATGTACATATACGTGCAACTTAGGAAGACCTTGGAACTGACAGCTGCAGTGCAGCTAACACCTAGCTAGGAATTCATATTGTCATTTGTTCTGTTTTATTCATTCATATTGCCATTTGCCATTTCTTTAAACGTCAGATCAGTCGCCACTGTGGAATGACCAACGTACATCTTACTCTGCGGTCTCAAGCCAAGTCCATCAATCGCCATTTATACTTCTCCCTACTGCGCTGCACATAAACTCCACAAATGCGCTTCTTGCAAACTCTTCAACGTACCTTCTGGACGATTAAACCAACGTCTCTCGCTACAGCACTGCCGTACAAAGGTAAACCGCTTATGCTGCGTTTTTGCACCGAACAAAATTTTACAGGGGAGCTGCTTTTTTTTGTTTTCGCCTCCAGTTACTTTGGTAAGCTTCTGATTATTATGAAAAACCATGAATGGAATCGTCTGCTCATGGCCGCCTGTGTGGAAATGGAATGCGGCGTATGCATAGAAACTTCAAAGACGCCCAACGTGGGTTTGGCCAAGTGTCATTTTTCCGGCGATACAGAGGAAACCCCGTTACTTTGACTAGGCGTGTTAGAAACCGCATGTTTGTGCAATAAATGCAAGAACAAAACCACGGTGTCATCGTAACATGTAAAGAAACGTTTGTTTCCACGGTGCAGTTCGGAATTACAAGTACAATATCTGTTGTTGGCCTTAACACGTCCTTAACAGTCCTTATGGACCTTACAAACGCGGAAGATACTTTTGTAAAATGCTTCTGATTGAATGAACATGTAATGGTGCATTCGCTAACGTGACATTCGCGCGTATTTGCGCACGTGTGATAACAAAATGCCGACGAAACAGGAGCTTTTTGGGGTCCTGAACATTACAGTGAAATATTCAACACGCTTACATGACAAAACTGTGACGCATTTCAAAAAGACAAACGTTCTGTGAAACAAACTATGCAGCATTTGATGCCGCACGGATACCGAGTCTGTCGCTTAACGATGCAGTGACGAATCAACTGACCCAGTCAATTAGACATCCAACCGATTCTAGACAATGACAGTAAAACAAGAAACAAATTGGCGGTCCATAAAATCAAAATAGAGGACTGGCATGCTTTACCGTAAGTGAGTGGGCCTTGTTCACTGACTCCGCTTCTTGGCACTACGCGGTGGTTGTTGATCTGCTGGCGTCTTCTTTGAGCTGATACGCTGCTGCCTCAAGCTTTCCCAGAAAGCACGTTTGCGCTCAGATAGATGGGGAACGAACGTTTGCAAATAGCTTCGATCTTTTTCTTCTCGATGCCTGCTTCCCTTATCCTTGGCACCAACGATTCCGTAGCCGAAAAGGTAGCATTTGTCAGTCTGTAGACGGTCAATATCTATTGATTCAGGGCGGTCTCCGTGCATAATTCTTCTGAGCCACGGTGGAACTGTACCACCTTAACACTTACCGAGTACGGTCGTTGCCCTTCGTCTGACAGCATGCTCAGGCGTTCTCGGCTGATGCCATCTTCCACTTGAGCCATATTGAGCCCTAGCTTCATTCTGATAACCTTTGTGCCTGTCGCCACTGACGATTCGACGAAGTCGCGAAAGTCCTCCACGTGGTTTTTCCGCAGGTGTTTTGACACCGTCTGGGTGAACAGCGTCAGCGGACCTGAATGTATGGCCTGTTTCAAGACATTTTAGTGAAATACATCTTGTCGCGGTATTCTCCGAGTGTGCAGCTTTCAGAAGGGCACTCAGCAGTGCCCGGCACTTACTCTGACCAGAACAATCGTCTGCCCAGATGGCGACGTGAGCTACATCGCGGCACATCATCTCCAAATATAGAACATATGCCGCTATCACTTCCTGGTCGCTGCGACCAGCAAGTGCCTCGTGCCACACAACACATGCCCTTCTGTCTCATTGCTGTTGTTTCCTGATCGACCGACCTGCCCGTATTTTTTCAACCAAACATCAAACATTTTACAAAATCCCCATGTTTCCAATCAACATTAATTTTTGTAGAAAAATGCAAAGGCCATATCTCCCATATTCCCAGACAAGAGATTTTGCCGCGCAAAAACCAAACGTGCGGATTTATTCCATTGTGTCCAGCCACAGATGGCTCCCTTTATATGGGTTTATGCCTCGCGGGACAACAGACGTGGTTTTGCGTCCGTATTCACGCAGTATTCTGAAAACGTAAGAGAAAATCACAAATTATTTTTTTTAAAGGGCCAAAAGTTTGTGAAAATCTTAACTAATAGTTAGAACGACCGAATTCAGATTGATGAGACGAATCAAACGACGTAAAAAACGCAAAATGGCCAAAGATGAACATATGGGGGCTTTCCTTTGGACGACGGAGTAATGCCTGAAGAAAAGCCAGTGGCCAGGCGCAGCCAGAAGCGTCCTGATATTGGCGGACATTTATTTACATTTCACATCCAGTCGGTTGGTCCTCGGCGCACGGTGGCAAACTCGGCAGATGACCAGCGAAGTCACAGGTTTATTTCATATGCTTGCTCGCTGCACGCCAAGTTATTGACACTGGTGACGATCTGTGCCACCGTCAGCGCTCCCAGTACCATGACCTCAAATCCAGCCGGTGATCTGCATGGACAGTGGACGCTGCGTCAACTGGCTGCCGGAAAGACCACCACCCTACTCAAGAGAGTCACAAAGCTACGCCACCTACCATGGCAGAAATCGCGAGCTGTCCTGAGCGCCGCCTGCGTCCCTGTTCAAGTTAGTGTATGTAAACGATTTAGCTTCTCCGCTTCACCACGTGTCTAGGCTGTCGTTGATTTGCGGCAGTCACTGTACCAGTCACGGATGACATAACAATCTGCATCACGCCACCGGTTGTGTCTTCGAATGCTCCATCGCGTTCACTTACTGAGTCAGCCTCGATGGCACGGGCTCATTTCAGCCGGCACCATTTTCAACAGTTGTGTCGGGTGAGTGGCGCCATCTCGAGCCCGAAGGCATCCGCGGAGCAGGCCTCACTATCTCCTGCACGGTGGCGGACTGCGTCCGGCCGGGCCGGGCCACCGGCCCCCCGCTACTGTTTCTGACCCCGTCCCACCATGCGCTGCATCTGGCGGAACCTGGCGCCGTGCGTCTGCGGCTTGAACGGCCCGAACGCACCGTACGGCCGCGGCAGGGGCAGCGCGCTGCCCGCCGCCGGCAGGTACTGCGTGGGCCTCGGCGAGGGCGCAGCCGGCGGTGGCGACGGCGTCGCGGCGGCCGGCGCCGGCCGCGCCGCCGCCGCCGCCGCCGCGTCCGGCGGCAGGCCGGCCGCCACGCGACGGCGCGCCTCCTCGAGCAGCCCGGTTAGCCGCAGTCGCTCCTCGCAGAGGCGGCGCGCCTCGGCGCGCACCACGGCCGCCTCGGCGGCGCTAGCCATCAGGCGGCGCGCGTTGGAGCGCGCGGCGCGCTTCTCGACGTTCGCGCGCTTGGCGAGGCGCTCCGAGTCGGCGCGCGTAGCGTTGATCTCTGCGCGCAGCCGGCCGACGAGGCGCTCCAGCTGCGCGTCCACCATCTGGCGCTCCAGCAGCCGCAGCTCGGCCTCGTACAGCTGCAGTTCGATGCGACACAGGTGGGCCGGGATGTTGTCGTCGGCGCGGTCCGGTCCGGCCAGATGGCGACACCGGCGCAGGGCGGGCGTCTCCATCTCGTCGCTCGCACGGCCGGCGCGCACGTTGAGCTGCTGCAGCTGGCAGCGTGTGGCCGCCAGGCCCGGCTTCCATCGTGTCCATCTCGGCGCGCTTGGCCCGCAAAGCACTTAATGTGGTGCTGCTCGGAGCGCACTATCGTGTTCAGCTCGCAGATGTCCTTCTCCATGGCGTCCAGCTGGCCATAGCCGCGTTCGATGAACAGCTCCTGCAGGCTGATTTTTTCCTGGAAGGCGCACACCTCCTCGTCGCGCTCCACCAGCAGCAAGCCCCGCTCGTTCCGGTCCACCACCTGCCGCTTGTATTCCTCCAGGTCGGACATGACCGTTTCTTTGATGGCGTTGAGCGCCGCCTGGTTGCAAGTGATCATCATGTCCAGCTGGTCGCACGTAGCCTCCAACTCCTTCATCGCGTCCTTCTCCTGGTTCATCGTGCTCTGCGTCATGGTCTTGTCGAGGATCGTCTTCAGCGTATTCTGGCGCGTGACGGCGTGCTGCCGCTCCAGCTCCAGCTTCCTGCTCAGCATGGTGTCCTGCTGCGAGCGCAGGATCTGCGTCTTCTTCAGCAGCTCGTCGCAGTTGGTGAGCGAGATGTTAAGCTGAGCCGACATCTCGTCTCGCTCCTTCTTCATCAGCTCGTAGCGGTCAGACAGCTCCTTGGTTTGCTTCTCAGTCTCCTCGTACTTTTTCTTGAACTTGGCCACCACGGTGATGCGGTTGCGCAGCTCGTCTTCGTTGCGCTCCACCTCGCCGTTCAGCTTCCGGAGGACCCTGGCATTCGTGTCCCGCTGCCGGATCAGATTGCTGTGCTGCCTGCTCAGCGTGTCCAGCGACTTGGTCAGCGTTTCCTGCTGTCGGATCAGCCGGGCTCGTTCCTTGGCCAGGCGCTTAAGGTTCTGCAGCTCCACCGATGTCAGCGTTGCCAGCATGTTAGTGTCGCCGTGCGCGATGTCCACCTCCTTCTGCAACGCCTTCCGCAGCGCCGGCAGCTCGCTCGCCTGCCGGCTCTGCTGCTGCACCTGCTTGGTCAGTTTGTCCATCTCGTTCTTGGTGGCCGTCAGGAGGTCGCGCTGCGCGCGCAAGCGCCTGCTCCCCGCTGCGGAGGTCACGCTCCACCCGCTCCAGCGCCTTGTGCATGTCGCGCTCGCTCAGCGTCTCTTGGCGGATCTCGCTGGCCAACATGGCCAGCCTGGCCTCGACGCGGTTCTTCTCGTCCATCAGCAGCGCGCCTCGCTCCCGACAGGTGGTCGTGTCGCGCGACAGGTTCGCGCACTCCTTCGACTTGGCGTCCAGTAGCTTGTACTCCTTGTCCATGGCCTTGATCAGCTCGTTCCGCTCGTTGTCGATCTTCTGGGAGGCGTCGGTGGATTCCTTGAGCTCGCTGATGACGACGGCTGCCTCCGACCCCAGCGCCTCCATCTGCTTCTTCAGTTTGGCGCAGTGTTTTTCTTCGCGGTCCGCGTCTCGGGTGACGAGCACCATTTTCGGCAGCAGCCCCTCCTTCTCATCCTGTAGCACCGCTATCTTCTCCTCCAGCTTCTTGATCTTGGCTTCCTTCTGTGGAACGAGTCGCTCGCGGGCGTCGATGTCGTCGATCAGGTTGCGGATTTCTTGCTTGCGAACGCGTATCTCGACACCGATTTCGCGAATCTCTTTCTCCAGCATCGCGGGACTATTCAAGTAGATCTTTGAACTAGACACATTGTCTGCATCAACCTTCTCCTTTAGCTGCTCCCGCTCCTCTTGCATGTGCCTGGTTTTAAATTTGATCTTGATAGATCGAATTATCCAATGACTTACGTTGCTGCTCAAACGACGCCAAATACCTTTTAAGGTCGTCCACACTTTTGCCTTCAAGATCAGCTACCGTGTGGATTTCAGGAAATTCTTCCACGGGATCCCTCTTGTCTTTACTCGATTCCTCTAGCCTGGCCTTTTCCTTCAGCTCGTGCAAAAAGGCGTTCGTCTCTTTAATGTCGTCCCTCAGTCCAGCCCTGTTCTGCACGCACACCCAGAACATCGACTGCAGGTACTTGTGCTTCCGCTGCAGGTCCTTGTACTGCACCTCGTTGATCTTGCCGCCGGTGAAGAGCTCGTCCAGTACCTTGAAGCCGTCGTTCGGATCCACGGCGTCCGTCTCCAGCTCCTGCAGCAGCTCGTGCGTCTCGTCGCGCCCCGTGCCATTGAGCTCCGACTCCGAGCCCGCCAGCGCTGGGCTGTCCTCATACTCTTCCCCGTCGCCCGTCTCGGTCACCAGCGAATCGGATGAGTGGGACCGGCTGGCGGCGCCCGACTCGGAGGAGTCGCCGGCGCCATCTGACCGCGCCGGCGACGCCACGGTCGACTCTGGAGCTGCCACAGACGGCTGGGAGGGCACGGCGGCAGTGTCAGCCGGCGGTGGAGGCCCGGAGGCCGGTGATGAGGGCCCGCCGGCCGGCGGCGAGGCCCCGGAGGCCGGCGGTGGAGGCCCCGAGGTCGGCGGTGGAGTCCCGGAGGCCGGCGGTTGTTGGCCCGTCGGCCGGCGGTGCAGGTCCGTCGGCCGGCGGCGCAGGCCCGTCGGCCGGCGGCAAGGACCCGGAGACCGGCGGTGGAGGTCCGGCGGGCGGTGGTGGAGGTTCGTTGACCTCCCCCTGGCCACCGGCCTTGCCGTCGAGCTGGGACTCGGCAGACTTCACGGCCTCGCGGGATGCCTGGGAGGGCTCCGCCGTCGCCGCCAGCGCAGACTCTGAAGCCGTCGCAGTTTCGGCACCGGACGCTGCCGGCTTTAGTTCTCCATCCTTCGGCACGGCGGTGTGTGACATGGCAGCCGATCCTGACCGCGCTTGAAGCCGCAGAGTCACTGGGTCGATCAGATGTCACCCAGAAGCAGCAGTCCAAGGAGTGATTCTATTTGGGGCATGAGCGACTCTTCATGGCCCTGTTGCTTACACCGGATAGCGTCCGTTCAACCACCATTTGGTAACACCACGCGTTTTGGGCGTTTCTAGATTGGTAGAATACATTTTCGAAATGCTAAAAAATCGGCTTACAGGTCAACCTAAGCTTCAACGCGATCTTTAATGACAGCGTTATCTAAAAACAAAACACAAAAAACTGGGCGCGGTCGTCGCATCGACCAATTCACGTGAAGAGGGAATCTTATGTAACCTTGGTATCAACCGGTATCGACAGCATTTAGTCGTCTGTGTATTAAAGGAGAAGGCTCTACAGTTGCGGAGCATCGATTCGAACAAAATATTAGCCTCGTGACCTACGTGGGCAGAGAGCTTGTGGCTGTGAAGGTAATGAAATTAGGCATGATGGGAGATAACGGTTGAACGCATTCTGATACGTTCACCACTTTTGCACACACACAAAAAAGAACAAACAAGTTGTAAACCGATGTACGGCTGATAATGTGCGTGGGAAATCAACTCTCCCGGCAGTCGAACCCCCCGAAGCGAACCAAAGAACACCTGACCCGGGGCGCTGACGTCGGCCGGCAGCAGCGTCGGGACGGGTGCCGGACGGCGGCGGCCTGCGTTAGGCTCCAGCGCACCGGCACCCGGAGCACCGGGATGCGCACACAGCGCACGGCGCGGCGATGTGGTGCTCAGTGCTCAGTGCTATCTCTTGTGTGTGTCTATCTCTAAGTGCTCAGACTATCTCTTGGAGATATATTGCATTCCATAAGCAGACGCGCCCGCGCACAGCCATTCATGCCCGCTAAGCAGGCCGACGCGGACGTACCGTGGGAGCACGCATTACATCAGCTCTCCGCGGACGTTTCTTAGCAGCCACCAGCGGGCGTTTTTTTAACAGCCACCACCTCGTTATGATCACGGGTACAGAGTTCGCGCGCGCGCACAGCTGGGACTCGTGCACGAGTCGCGTGTATGACTGGCCAGGAGCAGAGTCGGGTCAGGGCGCCAGGGCTTCCGGCAGCGTGTCGCCACACTGACCCGCGAAGTGGTACCTGAAACGGCCGGGGTCACCAGTTATGTCAGGGAAGGAATCTTACATGAGCTTTCACATGAGTGAGTGAGTCTCTCCTTTTCACCTGAGTTCCAACTTGTGAAGCACATTACTTGTGTTCACAGGACGCGCTCGCACGTCTTATGGTAAAGCATATCTGACTACCCCTACATCTTACACGAAGAAACGTGACAGGGCGCGTAGAAGCTTCATGACGAAGCCTTCACATTAAACTGCGCAATTGTGGCACCCAGGTCACGAAACATTATATCATAATCAGTCTACAGCAAGCCTTCCACACGAGCCAGAATAACGAGATCCACATCGCGCCATCACAAACCAGCAGCCCGCCACCCGACGGCACCGGCGCCTGCGCCACGCGCGGCACCCACCCGAACTCGCCCGTCTTCGGCGTCGGCTCCAGGTTGAACTCAGCCACAGGCACCCCACGCTCGGCCACCATCGGGGCGAACATTGCCGCCGGGTATACGACCGATGACGTACCCACCACTAGACACAGGTCACACGACTCCAGCTCGGTGTCTGTGGGTCACACGGGCGCGGGTGACAAGCTAAATGGAGACATCTATTGCTGAAGGCCAATCATATATATATATATATATATATATATATATATATATATATATATATATATATAACCGAGCCATGTCGCACGCCACCACACAAAGGTTCATCAAACATATGCCCACCCCCACTCCCATTCTCCAGCGCCCACGGCAATAGGACACATACACAGATTCCGCGCCACGGGGGCACACGCTACACCGGAGATGCGTGACACGCCGAACACACACTCTACTCACAGGGCCAGCTCCCACGGACGCGCACACGCACACGCACACGCACCCCCACACCCCCACACCCCCCCCCCCCCACACACACACACACACACCACCCAGCTGACGCAGCTCCCCCCACGCCGGCGCCGCCGCGTGATAACCGGCCGGCCTCACTGCCGCCGGCGGCGCTTCACTCACGGGCCTGCTCCAGCACGTCCGGGTCGAGGCTCTCGCCGAACCAGACCACGTGCGGCCGCAGCAGTCCCCCACAGCCGGCCGCCTGGCAGCGGGGCAGCTCCGACTCGGGGATGTGCGCCGCCGGCGCGTTCGGCTCCGGAGCGCTGGCGGCGCCGCGCACGCGCCCCGCTCAGCTCAGGCGCCGGCGACGCGCCGAGCAGCTCGGACGTTAGTGACGCCCGGCCTGGCTCAGACGCTTAGTTCGGTTCAGACACTTACGGCACGAGGCTTCGACACTTGTAACACTTCGGTTAACTTCTTCGGCAAGTTCAGGCGCTTACAACGCTTGGCCACGCTTAGACATTTCCGATGATGAACTTAACTGGGATGTAAATATCGATGTTAACCTAAGCATTCAGCGCCCCTTGGTGGACATATAACAACACTAAATGGCCCGATAGCGTTTTAAAGCCCCATGTAACGGAGACTTTCTACCCCAGCTAGCCTCTACGACGGGACAAAAAAAGCGCCAACTAACGCCCCAAAAGAAACAACGAGCTTCGTGCGCCCACACCCGGTTTCCTGCCGCTCACGGGGCGTGAGCTCTGGCGATGCCAGATTGAGAGGTAGCCACAGGGCCGCTCACCCCCCCCCCCCCCCCCCCCCCGGGCGGCGCCTCGACTCACCCTGTGCCCGCCAGCGCCGGGCAGATGGGGTCGTCCCAGTTCTCGCGCACGTCACCGCAGCGCGTGCAGCGCGTCTTGAAGAGCGCGCCGTGCAGCTCGAGCACGCGCGACGAGCCGGCGCGCTGGTGCAGACCGTCGATGTTCTGCGTGATGACGCGACAATGCCGGCCGGCCGCCGCCAGCCGCGCCTGCAACGCCGCGATCGCCTGGTGCGCCTGCGCGGACAGACGACAGCCGGCATCATCACTGCGTTCAGTTAAGAGTTACATCAGGTTGAACTATTTACTTCGTGGAGGCATGGACACCACAGAAAATGTGCAGGCGGAGAATCGCGTTCAGACGTAAACCGAGAGGGCGTCTCGAGAGAATGGGGAGGGCGGGAGGGCTTAAGGGCGCATCGCCTGCACGACCGGACAGCTCCCACGAGGACCACGTCATCCTCTGTATCCTTACCCCCAAATACATCGCAAGCTTTTCTGTATCCAAGACAGCTCGACAGCAAGCCTGGGGACGCCACTGAGTCGTGCGGTAACAGCTCAAACAACCTCGACGAAAAGGAGTCTGCCACCAGGTTAACGGTCATGACCCATGGGGCCTCAAAGGAGATGAAAGCGGCACTTCCGCACCCGGAACGTCGACTACTGACCTTGTTGGGGTTTGTGGCGGAGACTAGGTGTCGCCGGTAGTGGTAGAACTCCCAGACGAGCGACGGCTGCTCGCGGAAAGCGCCGGGCGTGGCCAGGTTCTCTGCCTGGTACCTCCGCCACCAGCCGCCGGCGCCGCGGAAGGTCGGAACGCCCGACTCGGCCGACACGGCCGGCGCCCTGGTCAGAGGTCAGGTCGTGGCCGACCAGAGGGTCACCCGCCGTGTCGCGCTTAGGCCACGGCGGTGGTAACGTAACGCGAAAAGGCACGCATACGTCCGTGGGTCATACACGTCAGGATCAGAGGCGCTACACAGTGATACGGCAGGTCACACCGAGGTCACGGTACGTTATACCGAGGCTTACAACTGAGATCAGAGCGGGCTACACAGTGATCACGGCAGGCCACACCGAGGTCACGGTACGTTATTACCGAGATTACAACTGAGATCAGAGCGGGCTACACGGTGATCACGGCAGGTCGCACCGAGGTCACGGTACGTTATACCGGGGTTACAATTGAAATCAGAGCGGGCTACACCTTGATCACGGCAGGTTTGCACCGAGGTCACGGTACGTTACACTGAGGTTACAACTGAAATCAGAGCGGGCTACACAGTGATCACGGCAGGTCACACCGATGGTCACGGTACGTCATACCGAGGTTACAACTGAGACACGGTATCAATCAATCGATCGGCACTGATTGTAGCATGGAGGTCACCGAGGGTAGACTGTGGTTTGAAGCGCTTACAATCAGGACCACTGGTGTAAGATGGCATGGTACGGCCCCCGGCCACGGCCTGGTAGCACCTCGCCCACCTGTCAGCACGACCACGTGCTTGGACTCGGCCAGCGTCTTCCGGAATGCGGCCATGTTGGAGCTGGGTTGCGCTCGAGCGGCCATGTTGGCGACAGAAGCGGCGCGCAGCACGGACCCGGAACGACGGACGGCGGCCAGCATTCAGAGCCCCTGGAACAGGAACGGCCGGTCACCTGCCCGCCACGGGCTCAACAGTCGAGCCCGGCAGGTGAGAGCCGAAAGAGGCCGAGAACTGGGCGGCCTTCTCAGCCTCTGTTCGCACACTGTTGCAAATGTTCGCAGGCCGCCATCAAGTGGGAAACGCTCCGTCAGCCGAGCGGAGGCCGTCCCGGTCCTTCCCGTTAGCCGAGAGGAGGCCGCCTCGGTCCTCCCCGTCAGCCGAGAGCAGGCCCGTCTCGGTCCCCCCCCCCCCTCGTCGGCCGAGCGGAGGCCGTCCCGGTCCTCCCCGTCGGCCGAGGAGGGGGCCGTCTCGGTCCTCCCCGGACCGGCGCTCCGCGCTACAAACGGCCGCTGAGGTGCTGGTGCCGCAGACCGGATATGGCGGTTACTCGGTCAGCTGCACCGTATCGGATGCTGAGCTCGGTCGGCGCAACAAGACAGCCTGCTTCAGCTCTGGTGCTGCTCTCGGTTCGGTCAAGGATGGTGTATGAAGAGAATGCTCCGTAAGATCGCATGCTCTCCCAACTTCAAGCCAGCTTCAAGGCAATCGTCAACAACACATATCTGCGATCATAATATATTTGATTGCCCAATACTTTGCCATCTTTAACAACCAACAAACAACTGACAAGGGCTAAAGAAATGCATCGTCCCCAGCAACAGATAATTCATGGAAGACAATCCATTCGTCATTTCGCTTCGCACGCGGTCATTTTGGCGCTTAAATTCCGGAAAATACACGTAGTTATCTTTCCACGTTTGGTCTCCGTGAACGGGTTGCCTACCATTTCAGGCGTTTTCATCGGCGAGGAAGCCGAACCAGGCCCCACACAACCTTTGGCGAGCTGCACTGAGGTCCGCACAAAAGTCAGATGCCATGCACGCAACAAATAGGACAAACGTCCCTGCGCATCCCTCGTTGAATTGCTGATATTTCATGAGGTTAATTAACATGATGATTTACACACAAAGATAATATGGAATAACACTGCACATATGCGCCAACATCCGTGCGCACCCTTCTGTTATGTCGTTTGTGTTGTGAGGAAAAACTGCGATTTACTATTCATCCTGCAAACACTTCTTGCAATATCATGTTCATGTCACACCTTCCTGGATCCTAGTGTAATGAACGTATAAACAAGATGAACAGAACACGACAATTGGACGATGATTTTGCAACATGAGACCAAAGCGTGGCGCACCATGAGGCGATAGCGTGAAAGTAACCTGGTGGCCCGCGGTCCAACATATTGTGTTCACAGCATGTCGTTCATCCACCTCTGTTCAGAGCTATGAATGTGACATTTTTGCTACTACTAGACGCACCACCGTATGGCAACGGTACTCGACCCGCCCCGACACTGCGGGGAAATCACGCGGGCGTGTCCCCTCCCGCTCCCAGCACACCCGCGCGCGCGCAGGCTGCGCGACCACCCCAGTCACATGATCACGCGGGCGTGTCCCCTCCCGCTCCCAGCACACCCTGCGCGCGCGCAGGCATGCGCGACCGCCCCAGTCACATGATCACGCGGGCGCGTCCCCTCTCGCTCCCAGCACACCCGCGCGCGCGCAGGCTGCGCGACCGCCCCAGTCACATGATCACGCGGGCGCTGTCCCCTCCCGCTCCCAGCACACCCGCGCGCGCGCAGGCTAGCGCGACCACCCCAGTCACATATCACGCGGGCGCGTCCCCCTCCCGTTCCCAGCACACCCGCGCGCGCGCAGGCCAGCGCGAACCGCCCCAGTCCCGCCTCAGTCCAGCAGGTTCGGCGCCACCAGGTGGCTGGTGAAGAAGGTTGCGGTGCGCGCGCCCGCTCCGGCCCGCCCGCCGAGCCTCTCCTCCTCCCGGCTGGCCACGTTCTTGAGCGTGCGCGCGCCCGGGTACGGCCGCAGCGGGTCCGAGCCGGTCAGGTTCAGCAGGGTGCTGCGCAGCTGGCGGAGCTGCGCGCGCCGCGCCTCGTAGCTGGCCGCGCGCAGCGCGTCCACCCACTGCGCCACGGCGGCGGCGCTCACGCACGCGAACAGGTGGCGCCGCTCCGGGTCGCTGTTGAGCGTGACACTGAAGCAGAACGACAGATCGGCGGCGAACGGCTCCGGCTGCACGTGGCAGTTCTCGAGCACGAACAGGCCGGCCGGCCCCTCGGTCTTCCGACACGCCGCCGTGCTCGTTGAGGCCGGTAGTAGAAGATGCAGGTTGTGACGCAGCTTGAACCAGCGCTCGCGCGGCCGGTCGTCCCGCAGGGCGGAAGCGCGGCGGACTTATGGCTTAGTCGGCCCCTCCAGGTCGGGCGCGCTGCGCCGCCACCACCGACATGTCGCGCTCATTGGAACCGCATTCGACTTACCTGGGCGGCCGGCCTGAACAGGTCACAGGTACAGCCGGCTGCGTGCGGCAGTGGTGGGTGAGGTGGCGGTAGGCTGCTGGCCATCGGCCACAGCTGGACAACACAACACCCTGGCTTGTTGGAAGCATTAACATGCGCAAGGTATGATCTAGCAGCCTGAGATATCCTAAAAACTACATATGATGCACCCATGCACGCAGGTCTGCGAATGCCCACTGCTAATTGGAAAGATCTTTTCTCCTGGTAGCTCAACATACGCCCGGGTCAATATAACCTTCGCTCGGGTGGGGGTAAATTTTACACACACACACCACCCCTAGATCTTGGAAATTAAGATAGCTAACAACATCAATGGATGGGGTGGGATGGCCTGTGCATGAGTCCACTTGTGTCCAACTTTGAGGTTAATGACCTTGGGGTCCAATAGGGTCAAACAACATCAAACTCCAGATTTAGGTCCACAGTGCCCCCAGACCTCCTCATGCCACCACTGTGGATCTAAATACCTGTTCTAAACGAAAAATCAATGACATTCATTTAAGACCAGTGGCCTTGTATGACCTTTGCAAGCTAAGGTGACCAAAAAACCTTCAAGAATATGATCTTTTCATTCAAATAAGCATCAGGGATTGTGCCAGGTGGTATGTTCCTAAAACCAATACTGGTCCAGATCATCTTATGTTAGTGACCTCATCTTACTTTTAAAAATACATGGAACATGCCTGCTGGGGCTCCTGTCATAAGTAAATCTGAAAAAGCTCTACAAGTTTTTACGCAAAAGGGCAGGTTAGCTTGAGCTCTGCCTGGCCTTCACGCCGGACCCTGGGTTGATGGAAATTGTATTCCTAATTCAGTTGGTATATTGTTGGTATTAAAACTACCTCAGCGATGTATTGGCTTTGTCTAATACTTAATTGTTGCCTCATGTAGAGTGGCATCTCAGAAATGGTCCTCCCTGACAGCCCTGACAGCCAAGTCCTCAGTTTGACCCATTACTGGAAGAGTTGGAAACCTTGATGTTTCCTGGTATAATGCATACCAGGATATTTGCTCTCCAGCATTGTGACTAGGGAAAAATTAATTTCTGTGTACTCTATCATCATGCAACAAAAACAGCTTTTGGAAAAACTCATGGTATCTTTCCTTGTCAGGACAAAATTAAGCCAGAAGGTACACCAGTTTGAGACTTGCTGCTTCCATCAGGAGGCCATGTATTCATATCTGCAAGAGAACAAATTTCTGCACCTACCAGACTAGGATACCCAATAGCAAGCAGCCCACGTTGCCCGCCTAGGTTACGATAAATCGTGTATGGAGTGTGTGATGTTGAATGGGATCTCCTTTGAACAATACCGGGAAAACGAAAAACGAGGGGCAGAATCGCACCGGTCTGTAGACTTAGCATAGTATTGCACAGTATTGCTAAATAAGGGCGTAGAAAGCTCTCACTTCCTACGCCCTAAACGGCTGCCTTTGCATGTGCCACCACTGGCATGGCAATGCAAATAAGAGAATCACTCGTAATTCAGCGTCGGAGACGTCTAAATTATTCAGCGGCTTGCGCCCGCCTTCCAGCTCAGGTTGGAGGTTGAGCGCAGCAAAACTCTCCAAGTGGGTTTAACGATTCGCTTCCTCGTGACTGATTTGCCAAGGGCATAAATATTCTGCTCGCGCTCATGCCTTGAACAGATTTGTAAACATTTGGAAGGAAACTGTATAGAAATGAGCATCCCGATTATGACGAAGGACTTATTAGTACTCATCCAGAACCGCCCTATGGTTGGATTTTTGGTCCACTATCTGGTATCCAGAGTACAAAAATGAAATGGCAGCTAGGGATTCAAATCAAGTTAAATTTGTCACTATGGGTGTGAAAATAGAATGGTAATTCAGGCATTACAAAAATATACCTTAAGTCCAAAAACGTTGCTATAAATAGTCAAAAACTGTTCAGAGACAGCTATCTCACTCAGGCAGAAACATCAGGACACCGGAGTAACATTAGCCCATAACTTTGCCCTGGCAAATTAGAGAGAAGGGTTTCTTAGGACAAAAACATAAATGAATTGCAACATAAATTATCATGTTTCACAATATGGGTAAAAGCACATCAAAATCCATGAATACATTGTATTATCATCCGGAGTCAGCGGAGTGACTGACTCCGATCCCTTTTGGCCGGCCTGGACGGGTCCTGTCAGGCATTCTACTTGCGCTGGCTCGGTAAATTGGTTGAGAGTGCTGCTGTCTCTATTATTTGGCTGGGACAGCGCGGGCCTCACGCGTTGTCCAGGAGGTGGCAGAGCATGAATGTGTTTAGTCATTTTAAAACCAGTTAGCTGGTGGGCGTGAGTAGCGTGACTGTGATAAAGCATAAGTAGCGTGACCATGGTAAAGCATGAGTAGCATATTTGTGGTGGAGCATAAGTACGGTGGCCATCCATGGCACATTCATTTGCATTTTTTGTGCATTGTTTTTCTCTGGCTGTGCGTATTGTAGCCATTGGCCATGTTGGAAGGCGTATAAGCCTGGTGCATAAACCACTCTCCATTTTGAAGGGTATATAAGCCTGGTGCATAACCACCTGCCATTTTGGAAGGTACATGTGCAAAGCCTGCAATTGTCATAAATTGCAAACCCATACATATATATGCACCTGTGTTTCAGGACACAGAGTCTCAGAGTGTGTTGTTTCAGTGTGCCATGTTTAATACTAATGTTTCCTTTCATTTGAAAAAAATGTAGTGCTTTTACATCACTCATTCATCAACACACATTATTATGAATATAATGTCACTAACATCAAGGCAACTGAAATAATCTCCATGATACTTTTCCCTATTTATGTGGGCATGTACTTCAGAAACTAGTGGGGCACAGGTCTTTAGGACAGCAGGATTCTGGTCCGCACTGAATGGTCTTTAAGACTAGCTATTTCAGTTCAAAACCATATATAATGTGGAGCACTCCCTTTAGCCATAAGCATACATCAGTGCAGTGAACTTGGCTGGCAGCAGACCAGGTATAACAGTTCCTTTGATTCTCTGCTTTCATTTGCTTGAAAACTGAACCATACCAACAAGTGGCAGTAACAGGGAAAACCACACAAAAATAGCAGCACTGTTAGACTACAGCTTTTGATCAATGGAAAGACTAACCCAATGGCTAGCAAATAAATATGAATGCATATGTAAAAGAATGGCTGTTGACTTTATCAGAAGTAGATTACAGTGAAACATTTCATCAACTTATTGGGAAAATGGCCTGATGGCAATCTAGGCAATAACTGGCAATTTCATACCAAGTAGTAATGACACTTATCTCTGATCAAGAAGGAAACACCAGTTAGAAAGGTAGAGGGATCATGGACATCCAAATATACTCCATGCCAACATGCCTGGCACAGCCAGAATGGGCAGCAACGTTGCTGAAATTTCAGCAAAAGTACACTGTAATACTGAACACTCATATTTTGGCAAACCTGCACATGCTCACTGATCTGCACACCAATTTCAGTACATGGAAAGCTGTTGCTTGAAGGAATTGTGATGTTGCAAATACCATTTCAAGCAAGTGTCTTTGAAGCATTTTAATAAAAAATGCAGTGAAAGTTTAGCTATTTGGCCTGTCCCGAGCTCGGCAAACATCAGCCAGATGTTCAACACACTGATTGCACGCGTCCTGCAGTGGACGGATTTTTTGTGGACTGGCTGGAATGCGTCAAGCATGACATATGCGCTGCACGATACATCAACAAAGCAGAATGGCCTCACACCCCTTCCCCCCCGGATCCGCCCTTGGTAGGCTCACATATATATTAGGATAGAATCCACGTAAATTCCCAACAACAGCGGAAGCTCGTTATAATTCAACCCAAGAATCAACCACATCTTTTACGCCCCCCCCATACCTGGCTGAAAAGCTGGCACCAGAGCAGCTGACACAATACATTCAACCTTTCTTTTCTTTGTGGTGGATTGGGCGCCGCAGTCAGCTGTGAGGAATGATGCCAGCTGATTTTATTTTGACGTCATTGGGCCGACATACGCGAGAGTTCAGCTGGGAACCAGACGTGCCGTTTGTCTCACAAGGGGTTTCAGCCCCGAAGCGAATCACGACGGAAGCCATGAGCGCGGGTCTTTCTAATAAGCAGGAATCAAGAAGCAGGAGATTGGTCACCGCGAAAGTGAAAACACGCGAAATCGAACTTTTCAAGTTAACACGCGCCCGGAGGCCGGTTGGATACCCTTCGCTCGGATGAGGGGTCAATTTGACCCCCTGATATCTCAGGAACTAAAGGAGCTAGAGACACCAAATTCACAGGCTATGATGACCTAGACGTGAACTCACCTAAGTCGAAGTTCCTAGAGCATGACCTTTGAGTCAAGTAAGGTCAAACAAGGGAAAATTTCAGGCTGATCATCATAGATCTCCCAGAGCCTAGATAACTGCTCTAAGGAAAAGGTCACGTGCCCACTCACGGTCAGTAACCTTTTTGACCTTTTGAAGGCCATGGTGACCGAAATTATAAAGACTGTTTTCAGTTTTGCATCTGATAAGCGACAAATACTACGCCAGGCAGTATGTTCCTGAAAAACGAAACGTTGACTGGATCATTTCATGTCAGTGACCTATCCTGACCCCTATGAAGTCCATGGAAGGTGTATAATGCGGTTCCCGCGATCAATAAATTCGAAATGAGCACCAGAAACTACCCCATTCAGCAAGCCCTAGAGTAATAAAACAGGTTGGTTTTTACCTTGGTCTGGCTTTTATGTATGGCCCTAGGTCAATGTAATTTGTAAATTTAATTGTTGTGTTGCCTAAAGAAAGCATTTCAGAGATGTATGGCTTATTCTAACACTCCGTTGTTGGATCGGATTAAACGATTCTGTAGAAATTGTTTTTCCTGAATCCATGGCCTGACTTGACCTGCCATAAGGCCCCGCGACCTTACAAGGTACATCTAAATTTTCTGATGCCGGGCGATCCGCTATTCAATTGTTTACAGCTATGGAAAATTTGACGCGGCTACGCCGCGCTTTTCGTAAACTATTCCGGTAAAACCTTCCGGGGTCAAATTGACCCTGCCCCACCCGAGCGCGCCTTAAGGCATTGTCAGGTACCTGGCAGCGCGGGCATACGGTATTGTGTGGGCTTCTGGGTGTGACTGCTGAGGTCTGCGTATATCTATCCAGATGTTATGTCTACACTCCGGTCCAAAATGCGGTAATGTACGTTTCGGAAAACTACGGATGCACATCATAGTTTTGTTCCTAGTGTTGTCAGTTCCCTCCCATTTCCAGCGCCGTCCCTTCTTTTATACTGTTGTCGGCATCTCCCTATGAGGAAAACTTAGTTGCACAGTAGATTGGACCAAATCCGGCTACTTTTGTGAGGGCAGGGGCCTTTCATCGTGGCCCTTTCTCGATCTACGCGTCCCTCTCCCTCTTACTAATACGCTGGATGCATCACCGCTCAGGAGTGTTCAGTTCAACCCGCTCATGTGAACCCCCGCCCCCCCTCTGCAAAGTAACGAAGCGCAGCCAGACACGCACCGATGGAATAATCTATTCGATGACATACTATGAAAGGAAAGCACTGAAACAATCACGGCGCGTCGCCCGGAATGAGACCCCACGTTTTGCTACATTGGACAGGATCACAAATTACGCCTGTTCAGCCGGCGCCCTCGTCTCGACGGGGCTCGCCGGCTGAGAACATGGCTACCACAGCCGGGCCCACCGCTAGGGCCAAACGTGCACTTGATGTAACATAAGACTTAACGACAACTTAACGTAATTTGTTCGCACCCTTTCGCCAAAAATGGAAGGAATGCAACGTTTCAAAGCCATGCAGGGGAATGATACAGCAGCATATAACCAATACGAGATGAGTATCAGCAGTCCTTCACGGCCAAAGTGACACGAATATTACACGACGCGTATCACAAAATCACAGACTCATAGTCGTTGTCTTTGGAAAGCGGGGCGCCAGTACGGCCGCGCCGCGATAAAAAACCGCCTCGTTTCACATTGTTCATCGAAATACGGAACCACTCACAAAAGCCCTCCCACACGTAACACGAATAAACACTCCATGAAACACACCTCCACAAACATCACATTCTCGCGGCGCAAGCACCAGGCCTCACCGCCGGGCGACACTAGCGCCGCACGCGGCCGCTACACGAAGCAGGCCTCGGGCCGGTTGACGCGCGCCTGGACGCGCAGCGCCATCACGCTGTTCATGATCTTGCGCTGGTGGCCGACCAGCGTGACGCCGAGCGCGGCCAGCTCCGGCTGGCTGAGCCGCGCCGCCGCCTCCAGCGAGGTGATGCCGCCCGCCCGCAGGCTCTCCACGTAGCGGCTCATCTTGAGCGAGGCCAGCCACGCCTCCACTGTGCTGACGTACGCCAGCTCAGCCGCCTCCGGCGACAGCGGGTTCGTGCTCCTGCAGACAGCCGGCGGACGTCAAACCAGCCGGCATACCTTGACTCGCAGACGGTGCCGCCTACTCCGGGGTGAAGTGTATATTCCAGTGTGTTCCCGAGACACACTGCACCAGCCCGAGCCCGTGTCCAAGGGTGTGCACTCCCGTGGCAAAAGACGCTAATGTGATCGTCCAGCTTCACTAACACAAGTCAGCGTATTTCAGGGAGATGACGGCGGTGGTCACGATCGCCACTCGGTGATCGGGACGTCACAACAGCACGCCCAGCGGCGGCGACAGGCGGCGCCGGCTGTCGGCAGCTCACCTGCTGGGCGCCACCTTGCGGAGCGTCTCCGGACAGCTGATGAGGCCGTCCAGCGTGTGCACTATGCTGACGAACGGCGGTCGGTGGGCGCGCTCGCGCTGCCAGCAGTCCAGCATCAGCTGGTGCAGCGCCTCCGGACAGTCCATCGGCGCCGGCAGCCTGGCGGCGGCGGGCGCTCGGGTCACGACAGTACACAGAGGGTCGGAGAGTCGCACCGCGCCGGGCTACTTCAGCACGGCTGGGTGTGAGCACGTCACGCCACGTGGAGCGTTTAACACACGCTGGAAGAGCCCTGGACAAGGAGGGAAGCAGGAAGGGCCGCTTTCCCCGCACTTGGGAAAAAGTTCACATGAATTTGATGCGCTGCACGTCACGTACGAGTAAAAGTGCATCTGTTTTTCCTTATGTCTAACGCATCTGTTTTCCTTGTCTTTTAGCGATCTCGCCGCAACTGACGGATTGACATCTTGAAAAAAACTGTTCTTCATGCCAAAGGAACGGATAACATCCCAACCAGCAAACCTTGATTCAACGCGCAACGCCTTTAACTGGGATGACAGAAAACCCCACCCGGCACAGAGGCCCGCGCACTGACACCACTTCAGCGGGCCGTAGCGCACAGACGACGAAAACCCGTCCGAGCAGAGCGGCAATCTGACACATGCTCGGGTCCACGAGTCGTCTGACGCCGCCGCGGCGTGCGGTCTGACCTGTAGTCCTTCTCTATGCTCTTGATGACCTCCTGGTTGCTCCAGCTCCAGTAGGGCCGCTCGCCGTACGACATGACCTCCCAGGCGACGATGCCGAAACTCCAGACGTCCGAGGAGGACGTGAACTTGCGGAACGCTATGGCCTCCGGCGCCGTCCAGCGGACAGGGATTTTGCCGCCCTGCCGACACCGAGGAACGGCGCAATGAACATGAGCGGCCAGAGCTGACCCCCCGTGAACCCTCTACGTGGCCACTGCACATGCATGCAGCCTCGCAGTGCTGGGAGCACACCAACTGTGTGGGGTGTTCGGTCTCAATAAAACTCTAGAATAAATGATTAACTGATGCTGAATATCAACGAAAATGAGTGACTGAATACATTGATGAGTGATTAATTGTGAGAATGTAGCACAAATAAATACTTCAATGAGTCAATTCACGCTTCTCATGTCGCTCATCAGACCTTGGGTTCTTCATCATCATCCATGTGCAAACTGTCCTCCAGTGCTCTCACCGGTGTCATGCATGTCTGCGCATCGTTAAAACACCATGCAAAGTCGGAACGCACTCATCAGCATCCTTACCCATCTGGTGTGACCAGCACCCTCCCCCCCCCCCCTCCCAGCGTTGACCTGCCTACTCGCTAGCTCCGTCCCCCCGACTACTGTCCCTCTGGCGAACTCACCCGTGTGGTACAGGCTACTGTCCCTCTGGTGAACTCACCCGTGTGGTACAGGCTACTGTCCCTCTGGTGAACTCACCCGTGTGGTACAGGCTACTGTCCCTCTGGTGAACTCACCCGTGCGGTACAGGCTGCTGTCCCTCCGGTGAACTCACCCGTGTGGTATGGGCTACTATCCCTTTGGTGAACTCACCCGTGTGGTTCAGGCTACTGTCCCTCTGGCGAACTCACCCGTGTGGTACAGGCTACTGTCCCTCTGGTGAACTCACCCGAGTGGTACAGGCTGCTGTCCCTCTGGTGAACTCACCCGTGTGGTACAGGCTGCTGTCCCTCTGGTGAACTCACCCGTGTGGTATGGGCTACTATCCCTTTGGTGAACTCACCGTGTGGTACAGGCTGCTGTCCCTCTGCTGAACTCACCCGTGTGGCACAGGCTGCTGTCCCTCTGGTGAACTCACCCGTGTGGTATAAGCTCCTTCCCTCGTGGCCTCAATCTCCCGACTGAGCCCGAAGTCGGCGATCTTGCAGACCAGCTGCGAGTTGACCAGCACATTTCGTGCGGCCAGGTCGCGGTGCACGTAGTTCATCTGGGAGAGGTACTGCATGCCGGCCGACACGCAGCGCAGCATGGCCACCAACTGCAGCACCTGGAACTTGCCGTCGTTCGCCTGCAGAGGGGTAGGGGTGCTGATCAGCGCCGCACGACAGGGGTACGGCGCGGCCGGCGGGGTTCCGCCGGGGAAAGCTGTTCAAGTGAAACTAGGAATGGCATTGCTGTTCGTGAGTGAGCGTGGATGAACGCATCTTGCGGCTAGCTACAATGGGGCTTCTGGGAAATGGAAGTCGGCGATGCAGACAACAGGGCAGGGTGGTACTTCAATAGTTGACGGAAAGAGTTGATGTCTTGTTCTGCGCTTTAGATTGCCTGACAGGTAGCAGTGACGCGGCATGCGTGGGAATGCTGTGCATACCACCAGAATGCTGGAATACATCCGAAACAGTGCAAGGGTATCTCACACGACTCTGCTACGAAAAAAATCACTAACATAGGACGGGGAACCCTTCAACACGACAAGGAATAAAACTAGCATTATAAAATCAGAACTAAAAATTAAACAGTTTGCAGCCTGCACCATGTACGCTCACGGATCGAAACCTGGTCTGAACACGAGCCTGTCAAAACCACCAGAAGCTTACACTGTTCCAAACTCACATGCTTAGACGGAACGATTAAAAAAGCGTGAGACCGAGACTTTTCCGGCCCACGTTATGCAGCTGGCTACAGGTCAGCAGCGCAGCGCTCAGCCGCCCAACGGCCGCACGGTCCAGACCGAGACTCACCTTGAGGAACGTGTCCAGGCTTCCGTTCTCCATGAACTCGGTGATGATCATCACCGGGTTGCTCTTGGTGACGACGCCCTGCAGGAAGACAACGTTGGGGTGCTGGAACTGGCCCATGATGGACGCCTCGGTGAGGAAGTCCACCCGGGCCTTGTCCGTCGAGCCGGGCTTCAGGGTCTTGATAGCCACCGTGCGCTCTTGGCCGGCTGTCACCTGAGGTCAGCGAGACGCCGGCTGAGACTCGCCAGCTGCCGACCGCTCGACCACAGGTCAGCCAGTCTACACTGTCGCCCGAGGTCAGCGAGACGCCGGCTGAGACTCACCAGCTGCCGACCGCTCGACCACAGGTCAGCCAGCCTAGACTGTCACCCGAGGTCACCGAGACGCCGGCTGAGACTCACCAGCTGCTGACCCCTTGACCACAGGTCAGCCAGCCTACACTGTCGCCCGAGGTCAGCGAGACGCCGACTGAGACTCGCCAGCTGCCGACCGCTCGACCACAGGTCAGCCAGCCTAGACTGTCACCCGAGGTCATCGAGACGCCGGCTGAGACTCGCCAGCTGCCGACCCCTTGACCACAGGTCAGCCAGCCTAGACTGCCGCCCGAGGTCATCGAGACGCCGACTACAGCGGCGGCTCGCCAGCTGCCGACCGCCCGACCGCAGGTCAGCTAGCCTAGACAACTGAGAGCCGGGGAAGCAACGACTCGCAGAGCTTACCAAAACAATCGACACGGGCCCGACGTCCAGTGATCACCGCATCTGCAGTCTGCTCGGCGCAATTTAACATGAAACGAATCTCTTATACTATCGCTGAAGTCGCCTCCACTTTTCACCCCTTCCACGACACCTCTCAAACAGCTATCGATAACATCACGAAGCTCCAGACGACGATCTCCGAGAGTCACGACCAGGCCGTGACGAGCACCCCGCGAGCCCCGCCAGAGTGCCGGGCGCGGGAGGGGGGGGGGGGGGGGGGGGGGGGGGGAGGGCGACATCAGACACTCACGCGCAGCTTGCCGCGGCACACGTCGCCGAACTCGCCGCCGCCGATCACGGCCTCGATGATGATGTGCGAGGCGTCGATCTCGCGCGCGAACTCGCGGATCGCCTGGTTCGGGTCCTCGTACGTGTGCGGGTCGATGTAGGTGCGCTGGTGGGTCACCGGACTGAACGCCGGCGACGTCACTGCCGGACGGGGTGACGGCGTCAGTGGACGGTGTGGCGGGTGATGACGTCACTGCCTGGTGCGGTGACGACGTGAGCGGACGGTGTAACGGGTAATGATGTCACCGTCGAATGGGGTGGCGACGTGGGCGGACGGTTTTGGCGGGTGATGACGTCACAACCGGACGGTATAACGGATGATGACGTCACTGTCGGGTGGGGCGGCGACGTGAGCGGACGTTGCGACCAGTGATGACGTCACTACCGGATGGTGTGACGGATGGTGACCATGCCGTCAGAAGTGGCATGTGAGTAGGGCCACGGCAGTTTGAACACGCAGACGATACAGCGCGGACGACCATGACACATGTGAAGCAGCGCACCGTGAGGGTCTTCCATCCTGTATGAGCAAACGCACCACATCACGCACACAACGCCATCCATGATACAGCGAGGTTGTCGCATTAACTCCACAAACATACGCACATGTTGCGCGTCTTACGCTGATCGAGGCCATCCCCGCGCCGCTGACCCCCAGCCTCCTAAGAGTCAGGCAAGACGAGCCGCGTGACTCGTCACAGTTAGAGCGGCGGTCCCTCAGAGCGTGAGCGCATTACAAGCTCAGCCGGCCGTTGCGTTCGACCTCCCGCCACGCCAGATACGCCCCAGCCGGTGGCCAGTGATGGTACGGGGTCCCACCATACACGTCCCAGACGGTGGCCAGTGATGGTACAGGGGTCCTGCCAGACACATCCTAGACAGTGTCCATTGATGGTACAGGGTCCCGCCATACACGTCCTAAACAAAGTCCAGTGATGGTACATGGTCCCGCCATACACGTCCCAGACAGTGTCCGGTGATTGTACAGGGTCCTGCCAACCACGTCCCAGACGGTGTCCAGTGATGGTACAGGGTCCTGCCAGACACATCCTAGACAGTGTCCATTGATGGTACAGGGTCCCGCCATACACGTCCTAAACAAAGTCCAGTGATGGTACATGGTCCCGCCATACACGTCCCAGACAGTGTCCGGTGATTGTACAGGGTCCTGCCAACCACGCCCCAGACGGTGTCCAGTGATGGTACAGGGTCCTGCCAGACTCATCCCAGGCGAGGGGGGGGGGGGCTTGTGACGGGACGGGTTCACTCACGTGCGGTGGATGGCGTCTGTAGTGGGGTGGCTCCTCCAATATTGAACGCTGCCGAAGAAACACAGATGGTAAGCTGCGGCACTATTTATTGGAATGGACAGGGACCAGCGTCAGGCATCACTGGCGAAATGACGTCAAAGGAATGAATCCTCACAGCCTTTTGATGGCTGAAGCATGGGGCTGAAGGCTGGAGCGAGCTGAAGAGTCTCACGTTCATTCGGCTACGGCTTCTTTTAAAAATGATGGTATTCTGATGCCAGATTCTTGTCCGCATACAAGCATCGCCATATTCATATTTGCGAAGGTGTAATGCACACATAGCCTCTTGTTGCAGGGTATTATAAGCTGCATGGGCATGCCACGTCTTACATAATTGGCTAAAAGTGGTTGGAAATGATGACCCTGGAAGGGATGGGAGTTTGCACCCTCGATAGATTGAAAAAAGGCTCAGGGCTATGGAAATTATTTACAAATATTTGCTTAGAAAGATGCATCATGTGTTCCAGTTCATACAGCAATGGAAAACATGCGAAATTATAATATCTTAGCAGTTCAGGATGTGTTATGATTGAAAAGCAACCGTATTAAGACAAAACATCGCATTATTATATTTTACTCAACCCCTCCAGTCTCCCTAGCGTATATCGGCCTTCAGGATGCAAATAGTGCTTAATCCCTGCTATGAATAGAAACCTCCAGCCCCTGATAGCCGTATTATCCTGGAATCGCGCCACGGAGACGTGACCCTGGGAAGCCCGTCCGCCGGCCAGCCTGACTTTTTTCCGTAAATTCTCAAGCTCCAGAGCGCAGCGGAAATCTCTCCGAGTAGCCGCCCGCTCTCGGAAAGCTGTCTGGCATGGCTGTGCAGGTGTTGCGTGCTGTGTGCGGGCCGCCTGCCCACGCCCTCCGGTGGCCAGGGTCAGTTCTTTAGAAGACGCCCTCCGGTGGCCACGGTCGGTTTTCGAGAAGCCACCACATTCTCTACAGCCCTGCTGACCGCCCACAATGGCAGACAAAGCCGCGTGGGCGCAGCGCGGCACGAAAGAAGACCAGAGCGCCCCGCACGCAGGTCACTTCTGCGAAGGCGCCGCCCACTCCCCACGTTTGGGCGCGATCCTATATGGGAGGCAAAGGACCGGGCAGCACATACCACGCTCGCCACGGATGGGACACAACGGGCAAGACTGTGACGTGGCAGTGCCGACTCAGGCTGAACATCATGAACTTGGTAATGGCGCTTTCCAGGTCCGGGTCGGTGAACTGCATTCGTGGGCTGCCATATTCGTGCAGAGCAACTCACCGACATTGTTCTGGAAGTTCAGTCCGTCGCGGTCGTTCGGACGCTTCTTACTGGAGTCTTCCATGTTCCGACTGTGGCAGAGAAGCGTAGGAACATATTAATATGCTAGCCGTAGGTTAAACACAGGTGGCATGTCCACGACATCAGGTGACAGATCTTGGCAGCGTCTATTTGACATGGTACCTATGTGCGACGGTACCGCGGCTTGCAGGCAGAGAGTTCGTTGCTCAGGAGTAGTTTATGTGGCAAGGTATATTTCGAATAATTCGCACTGCCTATACGAAGGATCCAGAGCCATTACAACACAAACCGGCGATACAAACGCGTAAGTCAGCGACCGAAAGTGAGCGGTCCAGCGCGCCGGGCGTCCCACGCCGAGTGGAGCCCACCAACACTGACAAGTCTCCCCGAAGACTGGCTCGAACACGCGCTCGCCACGCCCCCGTACACGGGGGAGCGGCGTCACCGACGCCTACCTCCTGACGAGCAGGAAGGCCACGACGATGACGACGGCCAGCAGGACGCCGACGGCCACCGAGACGCCCGCGATCACGTCCACGTTGGGGCCGGAGCCGTCTCCCACGTACGCTGCCGGCGGCCGGTGGGCGCGGTGAGCGGACTGGACGCGGCGCACGCTTCTGCCGCGCCAGCCCGACGGTAATGGGGAGACGACGACGCGGCTTTTAAAGGAAGCGGGTCGTGTTGCTGAGCGACCGGCAATACACTGGGGTTGGCATCGTGCTCTAAAATATTACGTTCAGAAGTGTGTGTGTTTTTACACATTCTTTGAACACCGGCCACCTTTACAGATTACACATTTGTGTTGGCCATGTCAAAAAGCCCCTTTGACAAGCCGCCTGGCAGCGTCCACGCCTCATCGGATTCATCAGTTGAGGGGTCCACTCCTCACCTGAGTCCACCTGGCCGTGCCCGGTGGTGGTGTAGGTGGTGCGGCTGAACTCGCCCCAGCCACGCTCGGTCTGGGCGCGCACCTGGAAGCCGTACTCGGTGTGCTGGCGCAGGCCGGTCACCCTCACGCTGGGCGCGTCCGCGAACAGGCTGGTCGTGTTGGCACGCTCGTCCTGCGCGGAGGCGCACGCACCGGCAGTGAGGCCACGCGGTGGCGAGACGGCGCCGTCCGCACGAGACGGCACGGTCCGCACGAAACAGTGCAGTCCACACGAGACGGCGCGGTCCACACGAGACGGCACGGTCTGCACGAAACAATGCATTCCACACGAGACGGCGCGGTCCACACGAGACGGCACGGTCTGCACGAGACGGCACGGTCCGTACGAAAACGGTGCGGTCCGCACGAGACGGCACGGTCCGCACGAGACTGCACGGTCCGTACGAGACTGCACGGTCCGCACGAGACGGCACGGTCCGTACGAGACGGCACGGTCCGTAAGAGACGGGCGGTCCGCACGAGGCGGCACGGTCCGCACGAGACTGCACGGTCCGTAAGAGACGGCACGGTCCGCACGAGACGGGCGGTCCGCACGAGACGGCACGGTCCGCACGAGACCGCACGGTCCGTACGAGACGGCACGGTCCGCACGAGACGGGCGGTCCGCACGAGACGGGCGGCCCGCACGAGACGGCGCGGTCCGCACGAGACGGCACGAGACGGCAAGGTCCGCACGAGATGGCAAGGCCCGCACGAGATGGCACGGTCCACACGAGACTGCACGGTCCGCACGAGATGGCAAGGCCCGCACGAGATGGCAAGGCCCGCACGAGACTGCACGGTCCGCACGAGACTGCACGGTCCGCACGAGACTGCACGGTCCGCACGAGACTGCACGGTCCGCACGAGACGGGCGGTCCGCACGAGACTGCACGGTCCGCACGAGACTGCACGGTCCGCACGAGACGGGCGGTCCGCACGAGACTGCATGGTCCGCACGAGACGGGCGGTCCGCACGAGACTGCATGGTCCGCACGAGACTGCACGGTCCGTACGAGGCGGCATGGTTCGCACGAGACGGGCGGTCCGCACGAGACGCCGCAGCCAGCCGCGCCCGCGCGCAGACAGAGGGCGAGCGCTCCAAAGTCAGGCTCGATTCGTCTCTGTTCCACAGCAGCTCGTCACGAGCTCATCACCTGGCGCGGCTCTGGTGTCAGGCTCGGATCACTGCTCATAGTGCGTCGCACTCAGGGTCCGACTCGCCGCGCCTGTGAGGTGGGTCGCAGGCAGCGGAACGGCGGGTGGTGGGAGCGGGGTGGGGCCGCACGCACCTTGGCGAAGTAGCGCGCCTCATACTTGAGCACCTGCTCCCGGGAGTCCGCTGGGGGCAGCCAGCTGAGCACCGCCTCCGAAGGTCGGACCAGGGCCACCCGCACCTCCGACACCATGAACGGCACTGCGGACACCGGTGACGTGGTGAGCACATCGGACGCGACGGAAAGGCTGCGGCCATGACACGCAGCCCGGACGGTGCTTCGGACAGGGCGTACAAACTGGAAAAGAAAACGCCCGCACTGAACTACTACGTGAACGATCAACTGCAGGTGGCTACCGCATCAGCAAGAGTCACGTGTCTGGCTTAGTAGCAGTAGTATTGCCTTTTCCCCCAACAATTTATGTTCATCTCGTTTTGAATTTGGCACACTTTTCGACGACGACGTTTCATTACAACTTCTCTCAACAAGCGGGAAAACTATTAGTTCTGTAAGCAGCTTTTTAAACACGAGTGAAACAGATGAGCATTCGTCCTCCACCCTCCGTCGCTGTGGTTCGCAACGCTTTGATAAGAAAGCCTCACCAGACGGCGCTCGGCTAGTAATGGGTGCGTGCTTGTGTTTGATCGGGTTCATAGGCCAAATGTATCGAAATCCTCAGAGGGTACAGAGAAAACGTATGACAAAATTATGTCACATGAACCAGATGCTAGTACAATTTTGCAGGTGCGAAGGGTATGTTAACGACAAACTACCTTAGTCACTGTGTTTATAGACACATCTAATGACGTTATTTTGTGGTGGATAGAGTCCCTTTTTCAATGATTCGGTAAATTACGGAATGTCAGCAAGTGGGTTTGAATTCGTTTACAAAAAGTTGCTATTCCAAATGCGATCATGGATCTTTCTATGCTTTCTTTCTCCATTTGGTAATTTAATCATTAATAATGAATGAAAAGTTTTTCGACGAATGCAAGTCTGATCGTGGATCGCAACATACTGAAACGACCGTGTGATTCCGCATCTGAAATGATCGTTGGACGCCCGAGCACGTCACATCCTGAGAATATGTCGACGCAGGATCCCATCCTAGGGACCGAGATGTGGCGGCCTATTTTGCCGATGCAGGCGCGGGTTGAATCAGGGCCGCACGTCGAGTCTGAACACCAGCTCGCCACGTCACACGCAGCGACACCGGCGACACCGGCTCCACCGCCGCCGCGCCGTCCCGGTGGCGTGCAGCAGCTCGTCGCGCCTCCCCTCGAGGCTTCCGTAAAAGGCAGCCGCCCACCTGACGCCTGGGTGGTGAGGCCCACGGCCACGTGTCCGTCTTCGCCGGCCGCCACGGGCGAGACGCCGTTCCGGCTGTGCACCCGGAACTGGTACGATGTGACCGGACTCAGGCCCGACACGGTCACGCGCGTGCCGTTCAGGCCCGTCTGTCGGGCCAGGTGGACCGTCAGCAACCGGCTGGCATGCGAGTCAGGTCAAGCGCGGCCACTCCAGGTCGCCGGTGAGGCCAGCGGTGGAAGGAGGTCCGGTCAGGTCATCTTTGCTCCGGGTGGCAGACCAGGTGTGGACAGCCAGGGACAGGCGAGGCAAAGCCTGACCCGAAGTGAATAAGGGGTCGTACAAATGTCGCGGGAGTCAGTCAATTGTCCGTCACTGAATATATAACGTGCATAACAAACGAATGCACCACTACTGCGTTGTTCACAAGCACAAAAGGGTGGCTGTTTACCTTGTCTCAACGGGCGAGCGCCGTGGAGTGAATTTTACAAAGATGCCATTCAAATAAATGCTATGAAACACCTTGCTAAAATGGATACCTACTCAAACCTTGATTTATGGTTGCATAACGGTCCGTCTCGTTCAGATCACACTACGGCGTAAGATGACGCGCCGGTGATTTTGACGAGGACATTCATCGCGAAACGACCACGGGCACAGAACATCATCGCAAGGTACAGCACGGAGAGCAAGTTCCACTACCCCTACTGCCGTCCTCTCTGACTGGGCCGATAGAAGCCTCTGCACCAGCCCTCGCTCTCGCGAGCCGCCAGTGCCCCCCCCCCCCCCCCCTATCCCTCCCCAGCCGAGCAGCCCGCTGGCAGGCGCGGCAGACGCACCTGAGCGGGGCTGAAGGTGACGCCGGCGCCGCACCGCTCGCAGACGACCGAGTAGGTGGTGTCGGCCCGGCCGCCGTCCCGCAGCGGAGCGCCCCACGTCAGTACGGCCGTGCTCTGGTCCACGACCTCGGCCCGCAGACGCCGCGGCGGCGACGGCGGCTCTGCGACACGGCACGCGCCGCTCAGACACCGGCCCGCGCTCGCCGCCCCCGCGCACCCCGGCGGCCACGCACGGCGCCGCGGCCGCCGGTCACGCGCGCCGGTTGTGCTCCGCGATTACTGCAGCTTTTTCGCTGTTGTTCTTTTACTGCGGACGATGGCGTCGGCGAAATGCCGGCTGATTCGATCGGCTGGCGTGACGTTTCTCAGAAATGCTTTGTTCACCGGCCGGGCCGGGAGCGACCGAGCGCCACCGTCACAGCAGCCTGATGTGAGACACGATGCTATCGTCGCTGACAAGCGGTCCAAACCTGCAGTACAGGTCTCATAAGATATATCTGACGCGCACATTGAGGCCTGCAGCACGGTGGTTTGAGACGCTGGGCACAGGCTAGGGAGCTGACATTGAAAGGGCTCCAAGTCTTTATTCGAAGATGCATAGATGTACGGACGCGACGGACGTGAGTGAGTAAGAAGTTGGTCTGGGCATGACATATTTGAAAGCGTCCCGATTCTCTAAGGGGGGGGGGGGGGCAGTGACTGCGAGCATGGCTCATGTGTCCGTCATGTGCGCATGCATACACGCACGTATCAATGCGCCCCGGCAATACATCGCACACGGGTGCATACATGCGCGTGCTGATGTGCCTATGAATGCACGGATTGGTCTTGCGGGCGCCCGCGTAGGCCTACGCGCGTGAGTAAAACAGCGGTGCAAGTTTAGAACGGTGGGATCGCGCACATGCCGGGTGACGTCGTGCGAACCCCGTCTTCCATGTAGTGCCTCAGGGGCCAGCAGCGCCGTTGCAGCTGCGGTGCGTGTCTGTCTGCATGTGTATGTGTGTGTGGGGGGGGGGGAGGGGCGGGGGCGGCGGGTACTCACGAGTGCAGGCGCGGCCGGCCGGGTCCGTCGGCGCCCGGTAGAAGCCGGCGTCGCACGGGCAGACGGCCGAGCCGGCGTGCGGCGCGCTGCTGTGGTCCGGACACGCCCCGCACGAGCCGTTCCCCTGCTCCGGCTTGAACGTCGAGGACGGGCACACTGGCGAAGACCAAGACGGGAGCTGGTGACACGCTACACAGAACGGGCACACTGACGGAGGCGCGGAGACGGGAGCTGGTGACGCGCTACACAGTACGGCACGGGCCACCAGAGGCCGATGAGAGCCGGCTGGCTGACGGCTGCACACATACACACCCAGCTTATCTTGGGGTAGTGGTGGGGCGGGGGGGAGGTACAGGTCCAGTCCCTCCCCCTTCTAGCACGCGCCACTAAGCGACACGCCTAATCGGCCATGTTAGCAACGCTGGACAAGTGTCGCCTGTCAGCGCCGGCGCCAGACTTCGCCGACACCAGACCACGACCCACGGGGAGAGTAAAGCACGCGCGGCAATCCCGCACCCCGCACCCCGCGCGCCACGGGCAGCCGGGACGCCGTGGAGCACACGGGCTCGGGTGACACAGACTGCGGTGGGCAGACGGGACACCGCAGAGCACACGGACTCGGGCGACGCGGGCCACGTCCGAAAAAGTGACCTTGATTACGTCCGTCTGGAGTCCTGCACAGCTCCCGGCTACCGGTGGCCGTGGGACCCGCCAAATGCTGCGGCGACTGGCATTGCATGAACCGAATGCAGGGAACTAATCTGGCGACGTTGTTAGTCAGTACCGTACGGACAAATGTCGGTGGATAGGCCGGTCGTCGTTCATGGCTACTAGAGTTTTTGCGCTGGGTGTAATAAGCTGGAAGTTCTTAAGGCAGCGAGATCAAAGCGATGCGACGCGACGAAAATATTGAGGAGAGGAGACATGAAGATAGTGTCTTTTTACGTCACGATTGTTGGAATTATTGAAACTGGTTTAGTGAACAATAACACAAAAAACTACTTGAAACCGGTACGGCCGTACCAGGCTGAGTTGTGTCCCATCCCATTAGCCAACGAGAATTGATCGATACCAGCGCCACCGTGAGCTGTGGCAAACAGATAACCACGCAAGGTCTCCACTCATTCCTCTGACACAAGACTGACACACTGGGTCACATCAACGGCATCTGCGTGGTGTCGTTCGTTTGCTGCTTATTCAGATTGTATTGAAATGTTCTTTGTCGCATGTTTTCCGACCGTCATAATGATAGTTATTGCCGACGCGATTCAGCTTAAACCGGTTCAAACCGGACAGCGAGAATCGCAGCACAGGGCCGGAGGCATCACATTATCAGGAGTGATCTGGACGTACGAGTCCGACGCAGGCGACTCTGCTTTTGCTGCACCAACTCAATGACTGAACTGGTTTCGAGCCAGCCAGAACTCCGCGGTGCCGACCGGTGGAATCGACCCGCGCTGGGGAGGCGCTGTCACTGGGAGGCGCCCCGCACTGCCACTGTCACTGGGAGGCGCGCGCACGGCTCATCTGTGCTTCCGCTTCTTTGTCCCGGTCCTCGACGGCCACAACGATCAGAACGTGAGTGAGAGGGCGTCTTGTTTGCCAGCATCAAACGAAAAAAACCGAGCGTGACGGCGGTGCTCGTCGCTGTCGGCCGGTCATCCCCCAGCACTTGTCTGCCTCCTCCGCCGCAGATACGCCTTTCATCTTCACCGGCGACCTGTTCGTCCCTCCTCCTTCGGTCGCCGTCCCATTGTTACTTCTTCGACAGACGTGTTTTTTGGGGCGAGCGACCGTGTAATAAACCGGAAACTGGGCGGCGGCACTTCTTCTTCTTCTTCGGCGACGCCTTCTCGCCCCCCCCCCCCCCTCCCCCCCAGTCGGTCGACGAGCACGCACTGTCGGTGCCCCGGTCGGTCGACGGACACGCACTGTCGGTCTCCCGGTCGGTCGACGAGCACGCACTGTCGGTCCCCGGTCGGTCGACGAGCACGCCCTGTCGGTCCCCGGTCGGTCGACGGGCATGACAGCGCTGCGCTGCGTCGGCTGAAGTGAGCTGATGCTGGGGCCTGCTCGGTGAGTGCGGCGCCCAGTGCGACAGTCCTTCGACACAGTTTCCGACCTTGCGATCGCTCCTGCAGCGATAACCGAGCGGCCGGATGCCGCCGCAGACCACCAGTCAGATGTGCCGCGTGCTCACTTTGCGCGCGAGGATGTTACACGACCAGGAACATCCGTGACAGCGAGAGCGTGCCAGCCAGATGCGCGCTGAATGGGAAAGATCGCGCTGATACTGCCAAGCACATATCGGCCTCCTCGGCGACTCGATTTGACGGGACAAAGCGGGATCACAGTCCAATCAGAGCCGCCGCCGACCTGACGTTGCAGAGCACCGCCAATCGTGCAGATACATCTTCTCGCGTCCAACCCCACTAAGACTCGGGCTGTTGGCTCCGTGCGCAGTGGGGCGTTAGCGACAGGCGGCTCGCGATCAACGCCCGCCGCCGCGCCGGGACTCCCAGCGCGGCTGCTGCGCCGGCCGGAGCCGCGCGGCCCCGGCGACGTCAGCACCTCCGAATACGGCACGGTCAGCTCCGGCAGCGCCAAATCGGCGGAAACACCCGCTGACCGCCGCGTCTGGTCAGGAGCAGCGACTCAGGGCCGGCGCTATCACGACCACCGGCCGTGCAGCGACTGAATGGGGGCTCGGCTCGCCTGCCACCCGCGTGACGGACGAATGGGGAGGGGGGGGGGGGGCGGCGGGCGTGTGACCCGCCGCGTCCGTGTCCCGGGACTTCCGGCCCGTATATGGCGACCTAGCAGACCGGTCACGCCGCCAGCCGTGTGATCCGACAACACCCTCGGGGCAGCCGAGGCGACGCTGCCCGACGGGGGCAGGCGCGGCTGGCAGCTCTGGGTACGGCCCGGGGCGGCTCGCAGCTGAGATGACCCGCGGAGACCGGGCTCAGGGCAGCTGGGAGGCGGCAGACAGGGGCTGACAGGCTGACAGGCGCTGGGGTCTCCGGGCCACAGAAGCCATTAATCAGTCGCCTTGTAATCAGCGCCCGAACCGCAATTAGCTGCAATCAGCAGACGGCGCCTGCAACGGGATTTAGAGCCTCCAGAGAGATTTGTTGGCTTGCTCTGCGGCTTGTCTGTCACATAGGACCGGAGCGTGATGATGCGGAGATTGGCCGGGCTAAGTCGCTCATCCCCGCGTGACAAAGCTGTCACAGTAAGAGCTCACGATACGGTATCTCCTAACGGATCGGCACTGGTAGTGTCAAGGTGCATACATCCCACGGGCATCAGTGGCTCACCACACGCCACTAGGCGGCCTTGGATATTCGTCCCTCGCATGCTCCATGCCGCGATCACGCCGTTGGTGCCTGGAAAGCTATTGGAACCTTTTTCAGAATTTTGCAGCGGTGGACGGGGCAACCAGTCTCTCTTCTCATTCCCTGCGCGATCGCACAGGTCGACAGGCATATAACATGGGTTCAGATGGCATTGCCGCTGGCACCACACCAGTTCGATTGGCGTTCGCCCTTGGTGCATGATCGCATGATCGCGCCACAACCCATGACCTACAAGCAGCCCCGGGCGGATTCCATTCAACATGTTTGCAGTGGGGCCGAGTGATTCCAACCAATCATAAAAGTCGTCAAACAGACCGCCAAGAAACAACAAAAACAAAAGCAAAAAACAAAAACAAATTCATTCGGAACAGCCGCCATGGGTGGCTTTAAGTTCCGGGCATTCCTTGAGCAGAACTTTTCGCATCCGGCCTGAATTCACCACCAAGTTGTGCTGTCCGGTTTAACGGATAACGGTCCGGTTTAACGGACAGTTTTGCCTTCGCTTCTTCGCCTGACACGACAGCGGAGGGTTTAACGTGGCGCACGGCGCGGCCGCCCCAAACCTCCATTGACACTAGTTGGCCAGCTGTCATCCGAGCTTTCTGTGCCATTTGAACGAAACGATGCGCCCGCCTTTCGTGTCAGTCAACGCCCAGAGCGCGGAGGCGGCAAGGAATTTGACTTTCACGAGTAATGAGTGTCGAGTTTGACTTTCACGTTCGGTCCAAATGCACTCAGTGTAACCGGAAGCATTCCATAACACATAAGGAGCATAGGCTCTTCACACGAGCTCATAAATCATTACGCCTCCCACTGAGCGCCACGACAGTGCCACAAAACCGCTGCCAGGCTAACAACCCCAGCCCGGCCGGCCGACAAGCACAAAGACAGCTGCAGCACGGCGCCTGCCGCCGACGCCTACCTTGGCAGGACTGGTTGGCGGGCCGCGGCTCGTAGCCGGCGCGGCAGCTGCAGTGTCCGTCCAGCAGCTCCCACTCGCCGTTGCCCTTGCAGATGTACTGGGGCGGGCGGCCGTCGTGGCCGCCGGGCGCCGCGTTCGCCACGCACGTGCCGCGCGCCGTCTTGATGGTCGTCTCCTCGCGGCCCGTGGGGGTGGCGGGGAACTGCGCGAAGCCGGCCGTCACCTGCGCGCACGTCTGGTAGTAGACGCGCACGGCCAGCAGCGCGATGCACGCGCCCTGGTCGCGCACGGCGAAGTAGACGCCCTTCTTGGTGACGGGGATGGAGCGCGTCTCGACGTTGATGACGCGCTCCTGGCTGGAGCTGGAGCGGCCCTGGTCGGCGGCGATGCGGTCGATGAGCCGGTAGCTCTCCGGCTCCCAGGGCGGCGGCTCGCGCGTCGCCGCGTCGAACTCGTAGTAGAGCAGACTGAACGTCTCCTTGCAGCTGAGCGCCGTGCCCGGGAACAGCGAGCAGTCGCGCATCGAGAACTTGAGCTCGATGTAGATGCGCTCGGCCTCGCCGCGCTCGATGAACGGCGTCCACAGCCAGTTGTTGACGTCCTGCTTGGCCACGTCGCACACCACGTGCGAGCGCCAGTTGATGCCCTTCTCGAAATTGGTGTAGCTCTCCTCCACCCACTGCCAGCAGGGGAGGCGGGGCGTAAGAAGACGTTCAGTGACGGTGGGCTCAGGGAACGCGGATGGGGAACGGCTCCATGACGTGTCAACGAAAGAAAGAGCTGGTCAGCACCAGAGGCGCGAGCTTCGCTGGACTCTGCAGCATGCCACTGGCAGAGATGTTACTGGTACATCAGTGTTACCACTATGCTGAACCCCTCGCCTCAAGAAAGATGAGGTGGAAGGTAAGCAGGAGGCGTCAGCAGGCAGGACGATTTAATTTAATTTTCAGTCAAGTTTAATTAACTTAATCACGGCACGCTAAGCGCCGCATCCCATTCCATTTAATGTACAAACCAGACGTGACCAAATCAGGTCGCGGTTTGCAATGCACCGGCATAACACATTTAAATGCCTAATTTACAAAATATAGCTAGTGCGAGAAATAAGTGACCAGATCTGGGTTACGACAAGGCTTCAGTCAACAAGGAGATTGTTCAGCCAAAACAGAGTCTGATTCAAATGTTGCTGGTCATTGAAAAGCCCGGACGCCTTATGATTACTCCAGCACTCCGCCAAAAACCACTCCCAGACACTTCTCTAACGCCACCGCAACCACAGACCTCGCGACCAAAACTGCGGGTGGAACATCGAACATCTCAGCATCGCCGGAAGCCAGCTTTGCTGGCGTATCCCCCAACGGGGCGTCCCCGCTGTGGGTGCGCCCCGCCGGTCTCTCCCCACCACATTCGGGTCAGGCTGCCGTGACCTGCGGGTCAGCGGGTCAGCAGGCGCAGGGGCGCGGCGACGGGGTGACACGCCCAGCCAGGCCGGGTCATGACCCCCATGCACGCCGCACTAACGAGCGCTGACGACAACGAGCCGGACGACGGCGACCAGCAGCGACGAAGAGTGAGGAGCGCCGGCCGCTGGGGCTGCCGACCCGACCGCCCAGCGGGCCGAGACACGGACCGAGTACACACACACTCGCCGAGTGTGTGTGCACTGCTGCACAGAGAGTTCCTAGCCTAGCCCATTGGCGACGAGTGCCACTCCTGCCAAAGAGCGCCGGCAGGTGCGGGTGGGCAGGGCTGGCCAACCGTAACCATGGGCCAATTCACGTGGCGCTGTTGCCTAACTGTCGGCCAACAGCCGCGGCTTTTGTCTGTTTCGCGACTCGGCTTATCCGGTCACGTGCATAAGCGTTACAGTTTGAGCGACGACCACGGCGAGGAAAACCGACGCGCGCCCGGCACTTGGCGGGGCGTCGCAAAAACTCCCTCCTCCCCGCCGGAAGTCAGACACCACTGCGGTACGAGGCCGGTCTGCTGTTCGAGTCTCTGCCGTCGTGGCTGCCTTCCCCCTCCCCGCCCCCTCAGAGCCGCCGGGGTCAAATCGCAGCGTCGGTTCTGACGCAGGCCGCGCCGGCCGAGTCGGGGCGCGCAGCATCCCGTGACCCCGGTCCCGCTAGCCGCCACATCGGCCGGACGAACGGTACCGGCGGTCCCGGCGCTGGTGCGGCGCTCGGATTTGATTAGGCCGCGGCCGGCCGAGATCGGCGCCGGCCGGGGGCGGGCGCGCCGCCGCGCCGCCGCGCCGCCGCCGCGCCGCCGCGCCGCCGCCGCGCCGCCGCCGCCGCCGCGCCGGAGCCGGCTGATGACCCGCGCCGCCGGCCGCCGGGTCGGTCTGTCGGCTCCCGGCGCTGTTCGGCGGCGCGCGAGCGCGCCCGGCCGGCGGCTGCAGCCACTGGCCCCGGCCGGGTCCAGGGTCCGGTCACACATTGAAAACACGCAGACTTGTTCAATCTGCATCAGTTTTTCTGCCCACATCGTAAGACTAGCGGACGGTAAAAGACGTGGCATGGTCTCGTCTGGCCCTGTCTGACCGGTCAATCGTGAGCGATGCCGCAAAATCACCAAAAATTGCCGTACATCACATACAAGTTGCCATGCATCGCAAACGGGTCTGCCGTCATATTTTGTTCTCTTTTAGTCTAGCACGCCGACAGTACCGTTATCGTAACCGTACCTAACCACAACCGTCGTGGTCAGACTGCAACCGTCGACCGCAACCCTCCGCCTACCCTCCTCGGTGCCCCGGTCCCAAGTCCAGAAACATGGAAATCAGAAACGAAGTTTAGTCTACAAACACAGATTCAAAAGTCCTCCGTGCGGCACAATTTTCATTGCTCCCAAGACGCGATAGCAGTAGGTCCTGAGCTTTCCATTCCCACATCCCCATACCCCCTTCATCTTTTTTGTTAAGACTCCTCCGTTCTGCTTGACACGCATTCCAACAAAATTGTCCTCGAAGGTCACAAGTCGATGGGGAAAGGGTCAGCGCGTCACGAGACCAGACGGCGAGCGCGCACGACACTTCGGGAGGGTGACAATGTAATTGCAGCGCTACCTCCGGAATTCTTTAGTAATCCTCAACGACACCTCGCTTTTTGCCGCATCTACAGAACATTCTTGCACGATAACGGTGTTACACATTCGTCGTCGCATAGAACGGATTATATAATATTTGTTGTTGCATGAAACGAATTAGAGCCTACAAACCTGGTACTCTTCAGATAGCAAGACCAACTTCTGCATTCGGTCCTCGTGTTTTATGGCAATAAACACCTATGCAAGTGTGGCAATCCGTAAGCTGCGTGATGGGCAAGGGGAGAGAAGCGCTATCAAGGCGTTACGGACAGTGTGGCACAGCCGAGACTTTCAGAGTTCCGTTCGAAGACGAATTCTTGCCTGATATAACGCATGGCAATCGGGTCCGGGATTGATACTTATCACTAACGAGACAGCTTGTGGCACACCACCACCCGTCCGCGCCCAGTCCCAGGGACGTGTCTGGCAGGCGACCAAACCGCCGCCAGCGCGCACTGACGGGCGTGCAAGAAAGCTGCCGACGGGACGAGACGAATTTAAAGGAGAGAGCTGGACTAGCGCCAGTCATTGACAACATTATCGTCGCCAGATTGCTAGCTTTCCAACGGTTTTCACTACGTGCATTCACGGCCGCGCGAGAAGCGGAGCGTCGCGCCGGCGGCATGCTGCCACGCGACGGGCCAACCAATCAGTGCGTCAATAAGGTCAGATTACCACACTCGCACTGCAAAATAGTCATACTGAAGATGACCAGTCGTCGAATGATCTTAGGACGATAACTGACTCAACAGCGTCGGACAGTTCTCTCAACCCGATTCCCCCAGTTCGCTAAAAGCGAGCACGCCAGCGGCCGGTAGCTGTCCTCACGCATCCAGGCGCCGGCGCCGCGTCAGCCGGCCCGCAGCGAACAGCTGAGCCGGGCGGAGCGAACAAAACAAAACAGCGTATTCGGACGAAATGACGAGGAGAGAACGAGCTTGAGCGGACTTCGGCGCATCCCGTTAGAAGCTGTACGCCCCTCGGTCGCCGGCCTGGATGCGAGTGGTCTTAACCACACTCACAGCTCCGAGCAGTTAGCACAGTTCCGGAGTGAGCAGGGCCTGAGTAAGCAGGACGCGGACACTTTCAGGCCGGCGCCAGCGGCTCGCGCGCGGTCATCTACGGACCGACCCAGCGCATGTACAGTTCCAGCCGCCTGGGCGTCCCCGGGACGAGTGTACACACAGACCGTCCATACGGCACCCGCTGCACGCGTGGCCGGAACGGCACCTGCAGGTGCACGAGCGAACGAGCGAAAGGTATGGCCGCTCACACATCATACATGCCTACGTGGAAGCTTGCCTGCGACACGACACCACAGCCAAACCTGATAGCATGTGGGCTGACACGAGGGTGCACGTCCGTGTCCCCCGCCGTCCCGGAGATACACATTTCCTGCGCGAGCTGCGAGACAGACATGGGGTCGATAACACGATCATGCACCGCAGCCGACAGGCGGATACTCGGGCGCCCGCGTCACTATCGTGCATGATTTACGTCAACGCGGGTGCCATCAATATTTCTCTTCATTGCAACGCCTCGACCATCACGCGCAGTACGTCTTCCCCATACGTAGACAAATTATGCTGCATAACAGAGCAGGATGAAGTGAAAGCAAGCCACCCATAAAGCCATAAAGCCAGCAACCAAAGGCAGCCAAGAATGACCCGCTCACCACACGCAAGGCGTTATCCCAAGCCGCTGCACGACAGTATCAACTCTTCATTCGTGGCAGACGGGTCGTAACTCCGTGACGTTTCCTGCTGGTTACGATGCGCGTACCGTAACTGTTAAGCCGGCCTCGCCCCTGGGACGAGGGATTGCGGCGCACTCGACGCAGCGACGTACAGAGGCCAGTCGACGACCGAGACAAGGCGCGAGGCGGCCGCCGTCACATCGGCGGGGAGCACGTGTCCACACTCCGATCCTGTCTGAGGGGTGCCGGGACGGGATCACTCACAGCCGCAGACCGGCACCGTTACCGAGACAGGCGAACAGCAGCGGCGACATCAGTAGACCCCGGACGATGTGGGTGTGCAGGTGAGCGGGAGCGATGACATCAGTAGAACCCGCACGATGTGGGTGTGCAGGTGAGCGGGAGCGGGTAACATCAGAAGACCCCGGACGATGTGGGTGTGCAGGTGAGCGGGAGCGGCAACATCAGAAGACCCCGGACGACGTGGGTGTGCAGGTGAGCAGGAGCGGTGACATCAGAAGACCCCGGACGACGTGGGTGAGCAGGTGAGCGGGAGCTTCGACATCAGTAGGCCTTGGACGATATGATTCAGTACTCGTGTGACTGCACAGACCGCATCAGAGGCCCCCCCGCCCCCGGCCCCGCCGACCAGAACTCATGAATAGTCATCAGGGGAAACATCCGCGCTCAAAGCACCGCGGGCCCGCTCACTCTAGGATTCATGGAACCGCATTTGCCTAAAACCCAGCTTTTTCAAAGACAGATGCGCCGCTGCAATTGCCGGAGCCGAGGGAAACATGCATGATGCCGCAGCGCCAATTACACCAAATTAACTGGGCTTCCTTAATGAGGCGAGCCTTGAGACAAGGCAGGGAGCGGCGGCCACAGAGCACCGTGTGCCCTCGGGTGCGGGTAAGCCGGCACCCTGGCCGCCACCGCCACCGCCGCCGCCGCCGCCGGCAGCACGTCCCGCGGCCGGCGCGGGTCTGCGGTGCCGACCCGTGACGGCCGCGGCGGAGCGTGCCGCCGCCGCGGCCACGGCCGCGCACCGGCGCCGCCGCGACCGCCGCCGACGCGCCCGGTCTCACATGGCCGGACGAGGCGCCGCCGGAGACGGCAGGCCCGCGGCGGACGCCGCCTCGCTCGGAGCGGCACGGCGAGCCCCACTGGGGGGTGCGACACCCCCGCGTGACGGGTGGTTCACCGAGGCAGACCACTCACGCCAAGCCGGACGATGCGGTTCATAGGACCAGACCTCGCGCTCCAAAACCTGTGGCAAAACTCACCGAAGCATAACGCTCACTCAAACCGACCGGCCGCCAGTCGGTGTCTGAGCGCCTGGTTACCCGCCTACCTCGGTATCGCAGCGCATTCCATCTTCTCCGCTGCTCAAAGAGTCGGCGTCACGTTTCCTGGACCACAACACACGCCGTGCTTTCTACACCAAGTAAGCCAGTCGATCTTGCGGGACACGGGGTCGCCCCACAAGCGAGAGTGTTCTCAGAGATGCTTGGCTTGGCTGCACGTGGCACCCGCGCCGCATGAGACGTACACGCAGGCTTGTGACGGCACGTAGCCTGGTGGCACGGAGTTCGCAGGTTCGCCATAGGCGACTCGTCTGATCCATTTGCCCATGGAACATGGGACCTTGCAGGTGGGTCTGGCATCGTCTGCTAGACAGCGTCCATCTCTGCCCGCGATCGATCGCGAGACGGGCCTTCCTCTAAAAGTCGCGTTGCGTGTCACTTTCAATGAAACGCTGCAGAACAGGATCAAGATAAGCTGCCACTTTAATTGTTCTAAGCTCGCAGCGGAGAACGGACGGCATTGCGTGTCAGTTTCACCAGTATCAGTGCTCGGCTATCTCGCGTGCCGCTTTGTCCCCACCTGTTACACTAAATCATTTCGTAAGACTTTGAGTCATGACTTGTTGAATGGCCCCATCCAACTGACATTCACACAAGCCAGCATTTGGTACGAACAA